TTTTGTATTTTCTAATCTTCAGATGATTTACAGAAGAATAATACAAATAATAAACTGAAAAAATTCATTAGTTACATTTCCCTTTGCTTTTTAACTTTTTTAATTCTTTGTTTTTACCACAGCACCTGCACATGATTTGGCCTCTCTGGAGCTATTAATTGTGTGATGTTGCTTTTTAAAAGTCACACTTCAGCATGCTGATTGCCAGACTTCTTTTGCAGCTGTCAACTGCTGCTAATTGGAATTCATCCCAATAACAACCACCTGTGTTGCAGCGTTTGCGCTTGTAATTAAGTTCCTTCGGCTTCTTTGTCATGAAGTGTTTGTAATATTCTATTCTATTCCCTGCAGAGGCAGACTTGTGTGCTTCTTTGATATTAACGTACTCATTACTAAATATGTCCTGATGCCATCTCTGACAACCCCAGAGCCGGTGTCATATAAGGCCAACAAGTGGGATAGAGTCAATCCAGTGTGTGTAGCCAAACATCTCCACCCCTGAACCTGTATCTGCCTGTGCAAATATGAGTTTTGAGGGCTTTTTCCCCTCCTGGAAACGGTGCATTCAAGCAACAGAAGCGGCATACTGACGGCTGAATATCATATCACACCGCCATTGATGGGTGCAGGCCTGTAGCCTGCAATTAAGAGGAAAATAGCGCACGACAGGCGCGGATACAGCAGCGGGTCTCCTGGTAACCTCTGAAGTCTCCATTTGCATACCAATAGCTCCATACCTGCATCGGATAAACGCCGCGCAAATACCAAGAGCCTCCTGCCCTTTCTATGCGCCTTTACAGCTCCAACCATGCTCATGTGGCTTGGTAATTATGTCCCTCGTCTCTCGGTACCTACCTGTAAGTCGGACCGCGGCGACTCATGATAATGCGCTTAATTGTCTCCAATCGGATCAACAGATGATAGCGCGTGGTTTGTCCTCTGCTGCGGGGTCTGCGTACGGCATTAATGGCACACAGTCGGCGGAAACATCTTCCTAACTCCAGAATTACCTTTCCAGCGCACGGGCATCATTTGTTGCTCGGTATATGGGTTACATAGGCTGGCCAAATGTCTCCCGATGGCGAGCGTCATCAACGCAAGGCGGTGTCAGTCTCCCATCTCCCCCCCCCCCCCCCCCCCCCCCCCCCTCCACCCCCCGT